CCAGGGTGCGTGGCACCTGGAGAGCCCTGCTTTGGTGAGAGAAAGATACCAGCTGGGGAAGGAGAGCAATTAATGCTTTTTGCATTCATTTAGAAGGCAGAATTGTGTTGGTTTGTTTTTTTTTTTTTAATTATCTACACAGAAATAGCAAAGGCAAATGCACGGTGGGCTCTTTCCTGCTCTGTGGTATTTAACCAGGAGATGGGGTGGTGGGTACCGAGACAAGCCAAGCCCATGGGAGAGGCAGGGGTGAGACCAGCCCTGCCCATCCCCTCGGTCCCTGTCACCCGTAAAGCCAAAGGTGACACAAAGCACCTCCCAAAAAGCTCCTGGGAGACAGCATTTGCCAGCTTGCTCTTCCGTGCACTGGTAGGGGCCAACTTCCAGGGCAGTCCATGGTATTTCACCTGCTCACATGGGGTCTGGCAAACACAGCCATTGTGGATGCGCAGCCCTACATCACCGAGCAAGGAAGATCATTGTCAAGAGACATAAATAAATGAGAAGAATAAAAAATAGAGGTGCCAAACCAGGCTGGGCTGTTCAAGCCCTTTGGGGAGGACAACCCTTGTGAGCACATTCCACTTCCCTGGGGAGCCACGGTGGTGCCAGAAAGGAGCAGTGGTTGCATGTGCTTGCTCGTGGGGGATGCTCACCCATGGGGGAATGCTCGCCTGGGGAACCGTCGGCTCTGCCAGCCTGTGAGCCAACAACGCCATGTGGCTCCTGGCATGAGTAAGCACCAGCCCCACTTCAGAGCCCACACACATCCTTGGCACCGGGAGAGTGCGCTTGTAAGTACCACCAGAGAAATGAAAGGGAAGGGGGGCGACAAGAGCCACCCCTGGTGTCTCCCCTCCAAGCCGTCAGGTGTGTCCCCAGAGGGAGCAAACCCCTGCCCGCTCAGCCTTGTACGTATGGATTTTAAACACCTCACTGGGACTGGAAAAAGGAAGACAAAAGGTTTCATTCTTTCAAGTTTCCCAGTCCCCCCATCTTGTCTCTTCCTCCCCCCAGGGGCTTGGGTTTGACTCCAGCATTCTCATATCCAAGTTTTCCTTGTTTTGCTGGAGGAGTGAGCATGGTCATCACCAGGCTTGTGACTGAAGGGGTGTTTGAGTGCCCAAGGACCGGAGCCAGGCTTCCCTTGCAACCCCTCAGGGTTGCACAATTGCTGGCATCCTGCCTTAAAAATAATCTGGGGAGCCTTTAGGGAAGAGCCAGTGCCTGCAGAGTTACAGATGCACCCAGCGCCATGTGCCTTCATTTGGCTTTGCAGGGGGCAGTAGGAGGAAAGCAGGGCAGAGACAGGGAGAAAAAATCTAATAAGATGGGATTCTTATCCCATTCTCTTCCTGGGAAGGGTCTTTTCCCAGGAAGAAGAGCCAGGTTACAGTGTGATGATCTGCAGCAGTCCCAGAAAAAGGACTGTTCATGTCCCCCAGGTACCTGGAGGCAAGACGAGCTGTGCACAACACTCTCTGCGATGCCAGTACTGTGGGCAGGGACTGCTCCCACGTCCCGGGAGCCCGCAAGCCACCTGGGCAGCTCCGCTGGGACCCAGGGCTGGAAGGGCCCTGGAGCACCCATGGGTAAGGTGAGGGGAGCACACACAGGCCAGGTTTTGGTGCTTCTGGCTGCCCTGTCCCCTGCGGCTCCCCAAGCCCCAGCGAGGAGGAGCAGCCCGAGCACTTCTGGCAACCGCACACCAGCAGCATCTGTTTCTGGGGTACTTTTGTTCCCAATTTATCCCCTGTCTCCTGGAGCTATTATAAGCAGGTACAATCTGCATTGCCATTGTTATTCAGATGATGTACAGATAATTTTAACCTTTCTGTTCCATTTGTCAAGGGGCTTTTTTTAGCCTCTGCGCCTGCCAGGCAGAGCACTGGCTCTCCAACAGTGAAGGCTCCCCATTTTGCAGCACTGGTTTCCCTTGCTAGGGTGAAGCTCTGCATTCGCTGTGTTGCTCCAGGTATCTTTTTCATGGCCCTAGATATGTTAGGGGATTTGGGGAAAGGTGTCAGAGGAGGTTAAGCACTCAGATAGCTACATCCATCACTCATCCTGGCACCAGCCTCCCAGGCAGGGCTCCATGGGATGTCCATCAGAGATCTGCACATTCAGTCCCTCTTTCAAAGCCTTTGGGGCAGTTCATACTTAAGACACTCACTTCAAAAAATGTTAATGCAGGACTTCTGGCCCGCACAGGAGGAGGTCCTCTCGTTAAACTGTTTCCAGCGCTGGTGCAAAGCCCTCAGCGATGAAGAAGGCATCACCACCCTGCAGAGCCTTCCCCACAGTCAGGGATGCAGATCACTTTTTTGGCTATAAAATGGGAATGTGCTTCTCAGCCTGAAAAATGCTGGGCTTTACCTCCAGCCCCTGCTGTCACTGCATCCATTGCCTGGGCAAGTGCCCTCAAAGCTGGGCCATCTCCTGGGTGATATCCCTATGGAACTGTACACTTCCCGCTGAAAACATGCCTTTTAGCACTTCAGGAGCCAAAGAATTGAAAACCAAACCTGACAGCATTTGGGAAGTAAAGGGAAAGATGCGCAAAGTGAAGGGCAACATAAAGCGAGTTCCTATAGGTCACGACGTTTGGGCTTGGTCCTCGGTGGCACCACGCAGAGAGGGGCAGCAGCGCGTGGGAGACACACAGGGTAAGCTCAGCTCAAAGTGGTCCAGATGAGCAGAGCAATTGCCTTCATCCTTCCCTGAGCTCTTCTTGGCACAGCACCCTCCCATCACTGGGAAAGAAAAAGAAGAGTCCTGTTGAAAATCCATAAAATATCCCTGTCACCCGTGCTCAGCCTGCAGATTGCCACAGGCTGCTGACTTGCCTCTGACTGCCGAAGAACTTTTTGTACTTTGAACAGCTCTGCAAAAAAGAAATATAAGACTTGACTTCATCATCTTTGCTTGACAACTCACCCGTGAGCTTCAGACTGGGCAACAGCATCTGAATCCACTTGACATCTCCCGGGCGCAGGTGTGGAGGGGTGGCCAAGCTGTTTGAATCCCCCAAAGCCCCGGATCCCAGCAGGTTTTCCAAGCCCTTGGTTTACAGGCTGGTGCTCCCTTGCATTTCTCCAGCGATACGATGTCACCGCGATGCTCTCAGCTTCCCCTAGCCAGTTTGCTGCGGTGCTGCTGTTCAAACAGCTCTGTAGGGTCTTGGCCCCGGTCCCCCTGGTGCCCCCAAAACCCTGGTGGTGTACAAACCAGTTGTATGGTGCCCCCAAGCCGGCGTGTCTGGAAGCAGCCAGGCATGAGCCACAGCTCCCCTGGGGTGACAACCCTTCCTAAATGTGCTCCCTGCCTCTCTCCTTTGCAGCCCCCTACCCTGCCTGGGGACCATAGGGATGCCAGGACAGCGCTGGCAGGGGATGGCCCCTGTGCCCACGCTGGGCAACACCCCATCCCGCATGATGGGGCTGTCCAACAAAGTCTGTGTGCCACCCCCTCCCTGCCATAGGGACCTTTTGCTGGGGTCCAGCATCTCACCCGGGGTTCCCACAGCCCCACCAGTGTGGTGGGGTGCCAACGATACGAGGTCCACAGTGGTTCTTTACAACAAGGTTTTATTTTTCTTTCCTTTTGACAAAAAACATTGAAGTTGTACATCGCCGTCAGTCGGTTCGGTTCCCTGTTTGGGTCCAAACGAGCATGTTATATTACAACATCCCACCCCAGTGCCTGGGGGATGAAGGCAGAGCATATCCCACCCACCCTCCCTCGTCCCCAGGAGCCGCCAGCCCCACACCAGGGGGCTCTGCCCTCCGAGGCCTCATGGGGGGACAGCAGGATGGGGCTGGGACAGCCAGTCCGGAGGGGACAGTGGAGCTCCGTGCTCCGGGGCTGCCTCATCTCCCCACACACCCTCTGCTGTCCCTCCAGGAGCTTTGCAGTGCTTCGAGCCCAATCCCAGCACCAAACTGGGATCCAGTTGCATGCTACTGGTGAATTCCTGCCTGGGCAGGGTCTTGTCCCATGCAGGCAGAGGTTGAAACACATCCCTCCACTTTCTCATTCTCCCTCCCAAGGTCAAGCACAGCCAGTAGCCACTGACGGCGAGCGCAGTGGCAGATCCCTGGTGTCCGGGAGGCAAAGGAGATGTCCAACAAGCCACGGACAAGAGATCGTACAGCAGCAAAGTGAGTCCAGCGCCTTGAAAAGTGAGATGCAGGCTGCAACGGTGCCGTGGGGCTGTTTTTCCTTCCCCCTCAGCATAGTCTTTTCCGTGGTTCTCCTGGGGGTTGTTTTTGGTTTCAGAGACGTATTTTGGAGGTGCCACCTTGCCCCCATGGGTCCCTGCCTGCCCTCCCACCACGGGAGCAGGACTGCGGCTATTGCAGGAAAGACAGGAGCGGGCCATGTTTGGGCCCCCCTTGGGAAAAAAGGGGCTCTGGTTTGCTTCATAGTTTCTGTACGTTAGTAAAACACAGGTTTTACATGCCAAAAAGCTCAGGTTCGGACGCTGCAGCCCACTGCCACGTGTGGGTGCACCCTGAGGGGCTCTGCCCCAGCCCGTACCACCACTGCAGAGGATTGCCGCTCACTGCTTGCCAGCCCCATTCTGGGGCTGAGGAAAGAAAAACACCCAAAGCTTGAAATCCACATGAAACGTGCCCCCTCCCCCTCCCCCCG